GTCGAACATGCCTTGTCAAATGTTTTCAGAAAGTTGGTTTTAAATTGATCATAATTTTCTGAAGTGTCAAGCCGCATAAATGTGTCTGCCTCTGAATTTGGTGCCATTAATAAGCGTGCGCATCGTAGCTTGTAGGCGTCACTTTCATCAACAGCAGAACAAGCACGCTCTAATTTCATAATCCACAATCCAGCGTTTTGGTCCCTCGGATTCGAGAATGGGACCATTGCACGGATCACTTCTTTGACGCTGCTGCTCTCCGCCATTAGTTTTGTGAGCAAAGCCCTTTTTTGTAATATTCTAATGGCGGCATCTAACTCTTCTTCTTCTGGTATGCGTGCCTTGCCGACCACCGGCGTCAGCGTGTCGGCGTCGTTTTCCAAATTAGGGTCGGCCGGAATGTCAGAGTCGTTGTCGGCTGAAGCATTCAATTTGGTCGGAACTACAGGGCTGGTTGGACGATCAGGGACATAACCATTCTCGTACGCGAGTTTCTGCAGCTGCCGCAAAGTTGCATTGCTCGAGTGCGCAATTCCTTGCCCGTCCATCCAGTTCAAAAGCTGCTGCTTCTCAATGGCAGCGGGGTTCATACTGACTTTGATTAAAATTTTAATAACTGTAGGCGTTTTTAAAGTAGCTTTGGATTGCGTATCCCACTTCTGAAGTTGTGGCGCGGTTCTTGTTTTACTTTTTTATTCTCTTCTTTATTTTACGTCTCTTTTTATCTTCTTGTCGATCCGAATTAATTGCCCCATACTTATCGCAGTATTATATCGCATCAAAACTATCGCATAAAACATATCGCATAAAACCTATCGGGATCGGGGTTAATATCGGTAAGGGCTAATATGGGGTTGGTTAGGCTCAATCGACTCGGCTATTGATGCTGATCAAGAATATATATACTTTATAGGGTCGGAAACGATTCCTTCTGGACGTTTCACACATCCACTTTTACCACAAATCTAATATACCCCAATACTCATTTTGAGTATCGGGTATAAAAACGAGGAACGTTGTGAGTTGCTGCGGACACCGCAACTCTACAGTTATACCCGATACTTAGTCAGAATGGCTCTCCTCCGGCAGACGCCGCTAATATTAAACGACACGACAAAGAGTGCGTGCGAGAGAGACAGAAAATCAGTCTGAGCGTGACGTCGGGCGCTGCGTAGCCAGTGCAAATTGATTTGTTACTTTTGGCTATAAAAATGATCTGATCTGATCCAGATTCAGCAATCTGATAGATATGGTCATTATCTATGATTCTGCGGTTTTGGTTTTCTCGTATCTTTAAAATTGTGGATGCCACAGATTTTCGCCCTTTGAGGGGGCGGAAGTGGGCGGGGCAAAGTTTTGAAATATTTTTGTAGCAGTGACATATCACAGAAGTCTGGATCCAAAACATCGTTGCTCTAGCTCTTATAGTCTTTGAGCATTAGGCGCTGAAGGGGACGGACAGACGGACAGACGGACAGACGGACGGACAGACGGACGGACAGACGGACAGACAGACATGGCTCATTTTGAGTATCGGGTATAAAAAAACATGTCAGCAACATATCTATTTGACATGTACTAAATGAAACATGGACTAATAGGCACCGTAATCTTGTTTGCGATAGCAGAGCACTTTGGCGATCAAAGAGGTTACTTTTCACCACACCAGTCCACCGAGACACCACCCCCCCCAGACCCATTGAACGCCTTGGGCCGCATTACAAATATTTTTGAGTACATTTATGTGTAGATCAAAGTGCATTCTATTAAATTTAACTATTCATGGGTGCCTACTATGCCGTTTTTCTCTGTGTGTATCCTCTGTTTTTAAATTTGTAATTTTCAGGGAACCAGCTTGGCTTTGGAAAACTCGTAACCTTGTGCTCGTACTTTACACCAGAGTATCAGTTCACTCTGCAACAACAGGCAACCAGAATTGTTGAATAAAGCACGCACACATACTGTAAAGCCAGGCCGAGGCTGCTGGCCGAAATACCCTTCAGAATGTCGAATGCCAACCCCAATGACAACAACAACGAGCAGCCCCCAGCCGCCAAGAGGCAGCGATTGTCAGATGTTGCAAGTAAAGATGAAAGTACTTTGAATGAGATTTCGACTACTATGGACAGCAGTGAGGGTGAGGTCGGCGGGTCCTCGGGTGGTGGCGTCTCCGATCTTCGTGACCGACTGCATAACATACTGGTGTGCGTTGTGTGCCGCGAGGTTCCACAACCACACGACTTCTATCAGTGCAGCCATGGGCATATCATGTGTGAGGATTGCAAGACCGCCGTTCTGGCTGTTGCCATCTTCAATAAAACGCGTGCCTGCTGCCCCAGTTGTCGATCGCTCATTAGAAACTACGATCAGGAGCAGAATCTAGTGGTGCGCCAGACCCTCTGGGAGCTACCCATCAGCTGCCCCAGCTGCAATGACCAGTTCTCAGATAGGAAAGATCTCTCCAGACACATGGAGTTCGTTTGTGAGGGGCGTGTGGTTTGCTGCAAGTACCACTGCGTGGGCTGTTCTTGGAAGGGCCCCTACAAGGACAGCGTCTCACATGATTCCGACTGTGGGTTTCCCCAGAAGCAGGGAAAGGAGATCCTAGATATGCTGCATGTCGAGGACAGGGAGCTTGAGGCCCAAAAGCCCGTGTTGCAGCTCCATCGGGTGCTGAGTGCTAGCCGGGTGGAATTTTTCACCTTGAGAATGAAGTGGATACACCGCTCAGAGGGTTTACACCCACGGACCCTCGAGTCTGAGGTAAGGTTTTGGAGAACCAGAACTCGTCTGCAGCATACCTCTGATGATCTCTTATCCCGATCCCCACAGACGATTCGTGCCTTTGAGGAGGATTGGGTGCTGCGTCTACGTCTGAAAAGAGCTGGGGAAAAAATCACCGTCAGCGGCCAGCTATTGCTTTCGACTACCCCACGAGTGTCCCTCATGGTTGACCATTTGATCCAGATGCCGCAGAGTGTCTGCAGCGCCAAGCAGCTGCACGACATACGCCCGCGTATCTACCGCCATATTTTCGATTCAACCGGCAAGTGCGCAAACCGCCAGGAGCTTCCCTTGGCGGGACCTCAGGCCCTGTACCGGCTATTTGCCATGACCCGGATCCAGCTCCGTTTGTGGATATTTTTGCATTATTGAGCTGACGCTAAAAACCTTTAAATTGTGGTTTAAACCTTTATTGGGCACATCTTTTGATTTGATTTTTAAATTCGTTGCTTTAGAGCTGAATTTTTAGGGTTTGGGCGCCTTCTGGATCTGCTCGTTCACAGCAAGACCTTCTTCAGCAGCAGCGTTGGCCTTATCATGGAAGTCGTGCAGAAGCAATCGAGTAAATTAGGCATACGTTTTTGTCTGGTCTGTTAAGGTCGGCTAGTGTCGGCTAGACTTACCTTAACGCTATCCTCGTTGAAAAATTCCTTGACCTTTGCCAGCAGGTCGTTGAGCTGAGCCTCAACTGGCTTGGTGGAAACGTCCAGAAGGAATCGTTTCCGACCCCATAAAGTATATATATTCTTGATCAGCATCAATAGCCGAGTCGATTGAGCCATGTCTGTCTGTCCGTCCGTCTGTCCGTCTGTCCGTCCCCTTCAGCGCCTAATGCTCAAAGACTATAAGAGCTAGAGCAACGATGTTTTGGATCCAGACTTCTGTGATATGTCACTGCTCCAAAAATATTTCAAAACTTTGCCCCGCCCACTTCCGCCCCCACAAAGGGCGAAAATCTGTGGCATCCACAATTTCGACGATACGAGAAAACTAAAAACGCAAAATCGTAGAAGATGACTATATCTTCTAGAGTGCAAAATCTGAACCAGATTGTATAATTATTACAGCCAGAATCACGAAAACAATTTCACTCTTTCTCGCTCTGTCTCACTCTAACACACAGGTCTCATGGTCGGTTTTGCCAATTGCAAAATATGAGTTCAAGGATCTCAAAACCCTTAAGAGCTAGAGCAAACAAATTTGGTATCCACACTCCTGTGATATCGGACCTTGACCGTTTTGCGTCAAAATTTCGCCACACCCCCTTCCGCCCACACACAGGCAATCAGAATTGTTGAATAAAGCACGCACACATACTGTAAAGCCAGGCCGAGGCTGCTGGCCGAAATACCCTTCAGAATGTCGAATGCCAACCCCAATGACAACAACAACGAGCAGCCCCCAGCCGCCAAGAGGCAGCGATTGTCAGATGTTGCAAGTAAAGATGAAAGTACTTTGAATGAGATTTCGACTACTATGGACAGCAGTGAGGGTGAGGTCGGCGGGTCCTCGGGTGGTGGCGTCTCCGATCTTCGTGAGCGACTGCATAACATACTGGTGTGCGTTGTGTGCCGCGAGGTTCCACAACGCGTGCCTGCTGCCCCAGTTGTCGATCGCTCATTAGAAACTACGATCAGGAGCAGAATCTGGTGGTGCGCCAGACGCTCTGGGAGCTACCCATCAGCTGCCCCAGCTGCAATGACCAGTTCTCAGATAGGAAAGATCTCTCCAGACACTTGGAGTTCGTTTGTGAGGGGCGTGTGGTTTGCTGGAAGTACCACTGCGTGGGCTGTTCTTGGAAGGGCTCCTACAAGGACAGCGTCTCACATGATTCCGACTGTGGGTTTCCCCAGAAGCAGGGAAAGGAGATCCTAGATATTCTGCTGCATGTCGAAGACAGGGAGCTTGAGGCCCAAAAGCCCGTGTTGCAGCTCCATCGGGTGCTGAGTGCTAGCCGGGTGGAATTTTTCACCTTGAGAATGAAGTGGATACACCGCTCAGAGGGTTTACACCCACGGACCCTCGAGTCTGAGGTAAGGTTTTGGAGAACCAGAACTCGTCTGCAGCATACCTCTGATGATCTCTTATCCCGATCCCCACAGACGATTCGTGCCTTTGAGGAGGATTGGGTGCTACGTCTACGTCTGAAAAGAGCTGGGGAAAAAATCACCGTCAGCGGCCAGCTATTGCTTTCGACTACCCCACGAGTGTCCCTCATGGTTGACCATTTGATCCAGATGCCGCAGAGTGTCTGCAGCGCCAAGCAGCTGCACGACATACGCCCGCGTATCTACCGCCATATTTTCGATTCAACCGGCAAGTGCGCAAAGCGCCAGGAGCTTCCCTTGGCGGGACCTCAGGCCCTGTACCGGCTATTTGCCATGACCCGGATCCAGCTCCGTTTGTGGATGTTTTTGCATTATTGAGCTGACGCTAAAAACCTTTAAATTGTGGTTTAAACCTTTATTGGGCACATCTTTTGATTTGATTTTTAAATTCGTTGCTTTAGAGCTGCATTTTTAGGGTTTGGGCGCCTTCTGGATCTGCTCGTTCACAGCAAGACCTTCTTCAGCAGCAGCGTTGGCCTTATCATGGAAGTCGTGCAGAAGCAATCGAGTAAATTAGGCATACGTTTTTGTCTGGTCTGTTAAGGTCGGCTAGTGTCGGCTAGACTTACCTTAACGCTATCCTCGTTGAAAAATTCCTTGACCTTTGCCAGCAGGTCGTTGAGCTGAGCCTCAACTGGCTTGGTGGGCTCCTCACGAGGCACGGGAGCACACATGCACACCTGAAAGCAGAGTTACAGTAAAACCACAATCAGTCAAAGGCCCGATACTCAAAATGAGTATTGGGGTATATTAGATTTGTGGTAAAAGTGGATGTGTGTAACGTCCAGAAGGAATCGTTTCCGATTCCGATAAAGTATATATATTCTTGATCAGCATCAATAGCCGAGTCGATTGAGCCATGTCTGTCTGTCCGTCCGTCCGTCTGTCCGTCTGTCCGTCCCCTTCAGCGCCTAATGCTCAAAGACTATAAGAGCTAGAGCAACGATGTTTTGGATCCAGACTTCTGTGATATGTCACTGCTCCAAAAATATTTCAAAACTTTGCCCCGCCCATACACAATTTTAAAGATACGAGAAAACAAAAAACGAAGAATCGTAGAGAATGACCATATCTTTTAGAATGCAGAATCTGAATTGGATCGTATTATTATTATAGCCAGCATCAAGAAAAGAATTTAATTTTTTCTCGCCCTGTCTCTCTCTAACACACACGCATAGGCGGCTTTGCTTAGAGTAAAACAGTAGCGTCTAGATCTCAGAGACTATAAAAGCTAGAGCAAGCAAATTTGGTTTCCACACTCCTAATATATCGGACCGAGACGAGTTTGTTTCAAAATTTCGCCACACCCCCTTCCGCCCCCGCAAAGGACGAAAATCTGAGGCAACCACAAATCTCAGAGACTATTAAGGCTAGAATAACCAAATTTGGTACACACACTCCTTTAAGATGTCACTATAAAACGTATATCTCAGAATTTCGCCCCACCCCCTTCCGCCCACACAAAGGACGAAAATCTGTTGCATCCACAATATTGCAGATTTGAGAAAACTAAAAACGCAGAATCATAGATAACGACCATATCTATCAGATTGCTGAATCTGGATCATATCAGATCATTTTTGTAGCCAAAAGGAACAAATCAATTTGCATTGGCTACGCAGCGCCCGACGTCACGCTCAGACTGATTTTCTGTCTCTCTCGCACGCATTCTTTGTCGTGTCGTTTAATATTAGCGTCTGCCGGAGGAGAGCCATACTGACTTAGTATCGGGTATAACTGTAGAGTTGCGGTGTCCGCAGCAACTCACAACGTTCCCCCTCGTTTTTTTTTGTATTTGATCGCTGCTGAAGCGAATTTTTTTTGAGTAGCAAAACAGGAAGGAAATTAACGAATTAGATGTTATGCTTTTTTTGGGCGACGAAGAGTACAGCTGACCGACTTCCTCGAATAGGAACGACCGAGCACCCCAATCATCCTCTACGTCCGTCAATGGGCAAAGCAGGGGAGACCTTTCGTCTATTTCAAAAACTTTACGTCGATTTTCTAGGTCCGTACCCCCGAAGTCGATCCGGGAATATAGGCATTTTTGTAGTACTCGATCATTTTTCTAAATTTCCTTTCGTAACTCGGTTCATGGAGGAATGTTTAATTGCTGATAGTGTCAGATAACGGCGTTCAATTCAAGTCACACAAGTTCAAGGATCTGTTAGCGAAATACCAAATTCGACATTCGTACACCGCCGCCTACGCTCCCCAAACCAATGCCTCAGAGCGGGTAAATCGCTCGGTACTCGCTGCTATCAAAGCGTACATTAAGCCCGATCAATCCAGTGTGCATGCAGCCATCAAAAGTAGCCCATATCCTGTTGCTTTTGGCCAAAACATGATTACTGGCGGTTCAACTTATCAACTCCTACGAAACCTCAGTATGTTGGAGGACCGAACAGTAGTCTTTGATCGCGACGATTCCTTCGAGCTAATTCTCAAGACCGCTGCAGAAGCAATGAAACAGCAGCATGTTCGCAATGAAAATATCTATAATCTTCGAAGCCGAGAAGTAAACTTTCAAGTGGGTCAAGAAGTGTCTAGACGAAATTTTGACCAGAGTAGTTTTGTGAAAGGCATTAATGCGAAACTGGCACCTACGTTTCGGAAAGCTCGCATTAAGAAAAGATTTCCAGGGTCGCTTTATTGGTAAATATCACGCAAATAATATTAAACAATAAATCGTATCCAGCACTCCAAGTGTGGATCACGCTTTGGTTAGCAAGACCCCAAACTGTGATTTCAGCGGGGGGTGTAATATTCGACGCTTATCGTGTCTTCTTGTATTTTAATTATCCACGGCTAACTCCCAAAATTATAGCCTAAAACTAGGCCGTAAAAAAATTCGAGTTGAAGATCTTGTGAGCTTTGATAAAGCTTATCAACAACTGTTTTGCGACCAAGCGGCAACGCTTTGATATACAATTTTTCTGCAATTGCCAGACCGCCGTTCTGGCTGTTGCCATCTTCAATAAAACGCGTGCCTGCTGCCCCAGTTGTCGATCGCTCATTAGAAACTACGATCAGGAGCAGAATCTAGTGGTGCGCCTGACCCTCTGGGAGCTACCCATCAGCTGCCCCAGCTGCAATGACCAGTTCTCAGATAGGAAAGATCTCTCCAGACACTTGGAGTTCGTTTGTGAGGGGCGTGTGGTTTGCTGCAAGTACCACTGCGTGGGCTGTTCTTGGAAGGGCCCCTACAAGGACAGCGTCTCACATGATTCCGACTGTGGGTTTCCCCAGAAGCAGGGAAAGGAGATCCTAGATATGCTGCATGTCGAGGACAGGGAGCTTGAGGCCCAAAAGCCCGTGTTGCAGCTCCATCGGGTGCTGAGTGCTAGCCGGGTGGAATTTTTCACCTTGAGAATGAAGTGGATACACCGCTCAGAGGGTTTACACCCACGGACCCTCGAGTCTGAGGTAAGGTTTTGGAGAACCAGAACTCGTCTGCAGCATACCTCTGATGATCTCTTATCCCGATCCCCACAGACGATTCGTGCCTTTGAGGAGGATTGGGTGCTGCGTCTACGTCTGAAAAGAGCTGGGGAAAAAATCACCGTCAGCGGCCAGCTATTGCTTTCGACTACCCCACGAGTGTCCCTCATGGTTGACCATTTGATCCAGATGCCGCAGAGTGTCTGCAGCGCCAAGCAGCTGCACGACATACGCCCGCGTATCTACCGCCATATTTTCGATTCAACCGGCAAGTGCGCAAAGCGCCAGGAGCTTCCCTTGGCGGGACCTCAGGCCCTGTACCGGCTATTTGCCATGACCCGGATCCAGCTCCGTTTGTGGATGTTTTTGCATTATTGAGCTGACGCTAAAAACCTTTAAATTGTGGTTTAAACCTTTATTGGGCACATCTTTTGATTTGATTTTTAAATTCGTTGCTTTAGAGCTGCATTTTTAGGGCTTGGGCGCCTTCTGGATCTGCTCGTTCACAGCAAGACCTTCTTCAGCAGCAGCGTTGGCCTTATCATGGAAGTCGTGCAGAAGCAATCGAGTAAATTAGGCATACGTTTTTGTCTGGTCTGTTAAGGTCGGCTAGTGTCGGCTAGACTTACCTTAACGCTATCCTCGATGAAAAATTCCTTGACCTTTGCCAGCAGGCCGTTGAGCTGAGCCTCAACTGGCTTGGTGGGCTCCTCACGAGGCACGCGAGCACACATGCACACCTGAAAGCAGAGTTACAGTAAAACCACAATGAGTCAAAGCAATCTTGGCTATTTTTGGTTTTTAGTTTGTTTCACTGGTCCTGCTCTTTACTGAAGAACGTTGACTTGAGTACTCATAGCGACAGCTCGTTTTGCGTCGCAGCCGAGATGAAACCGAGAGCCGGGCTTATTACCGGCGCCACTATCAAGGTCAAGTGCTTAGAAGCGTACGTCCCGGTCCGCCCAGATAAGAGAGTGGAGTGAAGTAGAGTGCTCAAAGTAGAGTTATAGACTATGTAGCATACTATGTGGGCATGGAGGACATTTTACTACCCATTTAGAGCTCTGGCAAATGGTCGAGATAAGAATTTATATAAAAAACGAGGGTGAACGTTGTGAGTTGCTGCGGACACCGCAACTCTACGGTTATACCCGATACTAAGTCGGTATGGCTCTCCTCCGGCAGATGGCGCTAATATTTAACGACACGACAAAGAGTGCGTGCGAGAGAGACAGAAAATCAGTCTGAGCGTGACGTCGGGCGCTGCGTAGCCACTGCAAATTGATTTGTTCCTTTTGGCTATAAAAATGATCTGATCTGATCCAGATTCAGCAATCTAATAGATATGGTCATTATCTATGATTCTGCGTTTTTAGTTTTCTCGAATGTGCAATATTGTTGATGCAACAGATTTTCGTCCTTTGTGTGGGCGGAAGGGGGTGGGGCGAAATTTTGAGATATACGTTTTATAGTGAGATCTAACAGGAGTGCGGATACTAAATTTGGTTACTCTAGCCATAATAGTCTCTGAGATTTGTGAATATCCCCAGATTTGCATCCTTTGCGGGGGCGGAAGGGGGTGTGGCGAAATTTTGAAACAAACTCGTCTCGGTCTGATATATTAGGAGTGTGGATACCAAATTTGGTTGCTCTAGCTTTTATAGTCTCTGAGATCTAGGCGCTAATGTTTTACTCAAAGCAAAGCCGCCTATGCTACGTGTGTGTTAGAGAGAGACAGGGCGAGAAAAAATGAAATTGTTTTCTTGATGCTGGCTATAATAATAATACGATTCAATTCAGATTCTGCATTCTAAAAGATATGGTCATTCTCTACGATTCTGCGTTTTTGGTTTTCTCGTATCTCTAAAATTGCCAAAGATTGTCGCCCTTTGTGGAGGCGGAAGTGGGCGGGGCAAAGTTTTGAAATATTTTTGTAGCAGTGACATATCACAGAAGTCTGGATCCAAAACATCGTTGCTCTAGCTCTTATAGTCTTTGAGCATTAGGCGCTGAAGGGGACGGACAGACGGACGGACGGAGAGACGGACAGACGGACAGACAGGCATGCCTCAATCGACTCGGCTATTGATGCTGATCAAGAATATATATACTTTATGGGGTCGGAAACGATTCCTTCTGGACGTTACACACATCCACTTTTACCACAAATCTAATATACCCCAATACTCATTTTGAGTATCGGGTATAAAAATAGCCAAGATTGCTTTGACTGATTGTGGTTTTACTGTAACTCTGCTTTCAGGTGTGCATGTGTGCTCCCGTGCCTCGTGAGGAGCCCACCAAGCCAGTTGAGGCTCAGCTCAACGACCTGCTGGCAAAGGTCAAGGAATTTTTCAACGAGGATAGCGTTAAGGTAAGTCTAGCCGACACTAGGCGACCTTAACAGACCAGACAAAAACGTATGCCTAATTTACTCGATTGCTTCTGCACGACTTCCATGATAAGGCCAACGCTGCTGCTGAAGAAGGTCTTGCTGTGAACGAGCAGATCCAGAAGGCGCCCAAACCCTAAAAATGCAGCTCTAAAGCAACGAATTTAAAAATCAAATCAAAAGATGTGCCCAATAAAGGTTTAAACCACAATTTAAAGGTTTTTAGCGTCAGCTCAATAATGCAAAAACATCCACAAACGGAGCTGGATCCGGGTCATGGCAAATAGCCGGTACAGGGCCTGAGGTCCCGCCAAGGGAAGCTCCTGGCGCTTTGCGCACTTGCCGGTTGAATCGAAAATATGGCGGTAGATACGCGGGCGTATGTCGTGCAGCTGCTTGGCGCTGCAGACACTCTGCGGCATCTGGATCAAATGGTCAACCATGAGGGACACTCGTGGGGTAGTCGAAAGCAATAGCTGGCCGCTGACGGTGATTTTTTCCCCAGCTCTTTTCAGACGTAGACGCAGCACCCAATCCTCCTCAAAGGCACGAATCGTCTGTGGGGATCGGGATAAGAGATCATCAGAGGTATGCTGCAGACGAGTTCTGGTTCTCCAAAACCTTACCTCAGACTCGAGGGTCCGTGGGTGTAAACCCTCTGAGCGGTGTATCCACTTCATTCTCAAGGTGAAAAATTCCACCCGGCTAGCACTCAGCACCCGATGGAGCTGCAACACGGGCTTTTGGGCCTCAAGCTCCCTGTCTTCGACATGCAGCAGAATATCTAGGATCTCCTTTCCCTGCTTCTGGGGAAACCCACAGTCGGAATCATGTGAGACGCTGTCCTTGTAGGAGCCCTTCCAAGAACAGCCCACGCAGTGGTACTTCCAGCAAACCACACGCCCCTCACAAACGAACTCCAAGTGTCTGGAGAGATCTTTCCTATCTGAGAACTGGTCATTGCAGCTGGGGCAGCTGATGGGTAGCTCCCAGAGCGTCTGGCGCACCACCAGATTCTGCTCCTGATCGTAGTTTCTAATGAGCGATCGACAACTGGGGCAGCAGGCACGCGTTGTGGAACCTCGCGGCACACAACGCACACCAGTATGTTATGCAGTCGCTCACGAAGATCGGAGACGCCACCACCCGAGGACCCGCCGACCTCACCCTCACTGCTGTCCATAGTAGTCGAAATCTCATTCAAAGTACTTTCATCTTTACTTGCAACATCTGACAATCGCTGCCTCTTGGCGGCTGGGGGCTGCTCGTTGTTGTTGTCATTGGGGTTGGCATTCGACATTCTGAAGGGTATTTCGGCCAGCAGCCTCGGCCTGGCTTTACAGTATGTGTGCGTGCTTTATTCAACAATTCTGATTGCCTGTGTGTGGGCGGAAGGGGGTGTGGCGAAATTTTGACGCAAAACGGTCAAGGTCCGATATCACAGGAGTGTGGATACCAAATTTGTTTGCTCTAGCTCTTAAGGGTTTTGAGATCCTTGAACTCATATTTTGCAATTGGCAAAACCGACCATGAAACCTGTGTGTTAGAGTGAGACAGAGCGAGAAAGAGTGAAATTGTTTTCGTGATTCTGGCTGTAATAATTATACAATCTGGTTCAGATTTTGCACTCTAGAAGATATAGTCATCTTCTACGATTTTGCGTTTTTAGTTTTCTCGTATCGTCGAAATTGTGGATGCCACAGATTTTCACCCTTTGGGGGGGCGGAAGTGGGCGGGGCAATGTTTTGAAATACTTTTGGAGCAGTGACATATCACAGAAGTCTGGATCCAAAACATCGTTGCTCTAGCTCTTATAGTCTTTGAGCATTAGGCGCTGAAGGGGACGGAAAGACGGACAGACGGACAGACGGACGGACGGACAGACAGACAGGGCTCAATCGACTCGGCTATTGATGCTGATCAAGAATATATATACTTTATAGGGTCGGAAACGATTCCTTCTGGACGTTACACACATCCACTTTTACCACAAATCTAATATACCCCAATACTCATTTTGAGTATCGGGTATAAAAATCGCGTACGAGTAGGAAAAGGATACTAGGAAACGGGATACAGGGGGTCAAAGGGACAGATCAGCATGGATACGTAAACGAAGAAGATCACCGGTCAGATCTTTGTCGGCTGCGGTATCGCTCATTGGCGAGAACGCCCACCCTACCATGATCCTTCAGGGCCACCTATTAACAGTCAGGATCTCTTCAAATAAGCCTGCTATTCGATATTGTCTTACATTTATAGGGTATTACTATACAGCATATACTGGGGAAGGAATATCATAAGGGCGAGGTAGGGTATAATGATCTTAAATCTATAAAACTGATTAGTAGTAGGTATATATAAATGCACGAGCATGTATAAAACCGTGATTATGGTTGAAGACCAACGAATAGTTACCGCACATTCATTCTTTTCAGATGGGGGTTAAATCGGTGGTACGGGCACGTGTCCGGGAATAACCAATCCGTAACTTCTAGACCAGCGTTGTAATACGTAGATACTAGTGGTGCTAATCCTACGCGGAAAAAACAGGAATTTTTCAACGGGTCTCTGTAGCTGGGTGGATAATTACCTCAACAGAATTACACCGCTGATCGAAAAATTTTACTGAACTGTGGGCGTTCGTTTTCCAAATGGTCGAACGGCTGCCCCAGTATTGACGATATATAACTGGCGCGTCCACTCAAATTAAATGATCACTTTGAGCCGCACTTGGCACTTGCACTAGGCTTTGACTTTGGCTTGACCTTGGTTTAGAGAACTGGGTCAGCTCTACAAGACTTCTTTTTCCACGGCCGGTCACTCTGACGGTCACGAGGAGAGAAATAAAGAGGCCCAGCCTACTAAAAACAGCAACCCACGTTTTCCCACACTTTCTATGGTCTTCTTCTGTTATACAGGATCCAGACACAGCAATATTTAATAAAATATAGTGCACGGCAGAAAAATTGCATATCAAAGCGTTGCCGCTTGGTCGCAAAACAGCTGTTGATAAGCTTTATCAAAGCTCACAAGATCTTCAACTCGAATTTTTTTACGGCCTAGTTTTAGGCTGTAATTTTGGGAGTTAGCCGTGGATAATTAAAATACAAGAAGACACGATAAGCGTCGAATATTACACCCCCGCTGAAATCACAGTTTGGGGTCTTGCTAACCAAAGCGTGATCCACACTTGGAGTGCTGGATACGATTTATTGTTTAATATCATTTGCGTGATATTTACCAATAAAGCGAGGACCCATACTGGGAGCCTCACATAGTAACAAGAGTTAAGTGATTAATAAGACAACCTGAAAATATAGTAAGTCGCAATGGAGCGAGATTTGTATTAGTCACAATCATATGCTATGGTAGTAAATAAGCTAGTTAAGTTTTGCATAGCCGAAATCCCGCCAAACGGCCAGCTCACACGGAACAACCGCAAAGAAGACAGCGAGGAGAGAGAGCTATGCTCAGCCGGCAGCAGAGCGGATCTCTTTCGAGAAAGTCCCGTTGGCCCGAAAACGAGCGCTAGGCGTGGGGAGAACGTCGAGCGACCGTGGCGAGAGAGGGAGTCGATTTTTGGAAGCGAGGGAAGACGGAACGTCGCGGACAGTGAAGAGATAAAGAAAAAGTGTTGAACGGCCGCGCGCCAGAGAGGAAAGAAAAAGCATGGACGAGCTGCAGGAACACAGGCGCCGGATCCGTGGGTGAGCTGGCCGATGGCCAAGGTAGTAGTAGGAGTAGAAGGGAGTGCAAGGGGAATCAATCCAATAAAACTTCGATCATATAATTAAGAACTCTTTGGCTTCCATTTGTTTTCTCTGGTCGGACCACCGACTGCGGTCATCTCTCCACCCCCTCCCCTTCCGTTTTCCTGACTGTTTTCGGTCACTACGCTCCCGCTCTGACTCTGGCAACAGGGTTTTACCCTGCTGGAGTGAGAAGTGGTACGCGTTTCGGCAGAGGCGCCCCCCCCCCTTATCCTTTTCCTTCACCTCCCCGGACCCGCGGCCCACCTCGACCTTGGCAACAGGGGTTTTACCCTGCTGAAGTCGGGGAGTGCAGCGTCTCGGGTGGGTTTCGCGCCGCCCGGCCCAACGCCCGCTTTCCCCCCCCCCCCCTAATTTCTCCCGAAGGCCCCGTCGTTGACGGCGGCTCGGCGATCCCTGCGCCAACGACCCGCCTCCCCCCCAGTCTCAACGTCTCAGCAACTTACAAATAAACTGTAGGTGACCATGGGCAGACTGAGACTGACCCCAGCCTAGGATCACTACTTTACAGATGGCGCCCGAGCAGGGACAGTTGAGACAATTCAAACGATAGTTTTCTGGGGGGGATTTCACCCTTCGTGGCCTAAAGACCCACAAGTAGATCGCGTAGGTAGCGCCTCATCAAACCGAGGAGAAATTTATAGGGTATCAATAAGAAAATACGATACGAAGGTACAGGCCAGCAGCGAGCAAAGCGTGGCTGAAAAGCTGTACAATCCCCGTTAGCCGTCGGCAAATGAAGAGGAGAGAACGGGAAAGAGGAAATGAGAGACGAAAACGACAGAATGAAAGTACAGCCCGCAGCCAAGCAAAGCATAGTGATGCCCTTCCCATGTCCAGCAGAAAGAGAGAAAAAAAAAAAAAAATCCAAGTGAAGCACCAGCGACGAAGCAGCACGCAAAGCAGAACGAAAATTCCGTGGCCCCCGTTATACTCAGGCAAAACCATGCGGGATCATAGCGCCCGGTACAGTGGGGAAAGAGCCAAGGGCAGCCAGACCTCTGTTACATTTCAGTGGGGAGAGAGGGGGTGAAGACCGGAGAACAGTTCTGGGCGTCGGCGGCGGGCATGTGCCGAACGACCCACGAGTATAATACATGAAATTATCCCTTCCTCATACTACCCGCACCCCCCGATCTTCGACTATTTACCTAACCATTCGCCCGCGGCTCTCTCGCGGGGTGTTCTCGGCCGATTCCGAGACGTCGACGTCGGCAGAGGCTCGGCCGTTCAGCCAGACCCAATATAAGCCGGGTTGTATACAACGCAAGGGAGAGTCATCCTCAGCATTCGGTCAACATACAACGTGTGAAACAGAGTGATCCCCTGCCTTCGATCAGTACACAACGCGCAAAATACAGTGGTCCCTATCCCGCAGCATACAACGTGCGAAAGACAGCGATCCGCGTCTTCTGTCCACCTCGCGCTCCCCCCGAAACTGAACACGAATCAACGGATTCTAACCGGAACAATCCTGCAGAAACCAACGACTAAAGTACCCCTGAACAAGCGCGTGTTAATTGCCAGCCCCCGTGTCCAGGTCCCCGACCAAGACGGCCCACCGGTAATTCACCACCGAATAGCCTCGCACGCGTCCTCGCCGTTTAAGGATTCAGAGCCCCGTCTTTCGCCGCGTCCTTAGCTACGTTTTTCGATTCCTCGGGCGACGCCCCAGACATTTGATCGTAGACCACGTGCAGCAACAGTGACCCGGACCAACTCAACATGGGAGTCAAGTGGATTTCGGTCAGGCGCAAGAACGAGTTGGAGATGATTGCCGCGGAGCTTGGGTTAGACAGCGCTGGAACTGTCGAAGAGTTGAGACGTCGACTCGCGACCTTCGCAAACTCGGCCGATTTACCAAGTACGGCGCGCTCTCGGTTGGAGGAATTGGAGGCCCAGTACGGAGTCGCCGTGACTCCAGAGGTTAAACCACTTTCTCCCCGCCCTTCTACACTCGCGCCTCTTAGCCTACAACCCCATCCCCCGGCTGCGTATGATGTCGTACCCGCCAGTAGCCGTAGTATCGTGGCGTCGGGATCCGCTGTGCCGGCAGAGAGCCTACTCCATGGCATCGACGTCGGTGCCGCGCAGAGAAACCTGCACGGTAGCAAGGACCCATCAACGAAGGGGTCCACCTGGAACGAGGAGCATTTTAACGCTGCGATCACCGAGAAAATGGTCCGCTGGGGAATCGTGTTTGATGGGTCCGGCGATCCGTTAAGTTTCCTTGAGCACGTGCAAGAGAGGGCAGCCACTTATAAGATAGATCTACGACACTTATCACAAGGAATCCTCGTGTTGTTGACCGGTCGGGCCGAGAGTTGGTTTCGAACGAGCCGCCTTAGTGGAGAACCATGGGAGACCTTTCGCAAAGAGTTTTCAGAGTTTTTTTTGCCTCCCCGGTACTTTCAACGGCTAGAGGACGAGATCCGAACCCATTTTCAACGACCAAAAGAAGCGTTTAAAACGTACCTCGTGGACATTCGACTAATGATGCAGCGCGCGGGATACACCGAGGCTCAGG